ATTAATTATAATAATTTTACATATATATATATATATATATATATATATATATAATACACAGAGGTAGTCCCTGACTTATGATGGGGTTCCTTTCTGACGCCTCTGTCATGAGTTGATTCTGACATAAGTTGAATACCTTTTTTTCTTTTTAAAGTTGTCATTATTATTGCCTTTTATTATTAGTATCTTTATAAATCCAACCTTTACTTGTCTTTGGGGCTTGGAAACATGACATAAGAATCTCTGAGTTAATCTGAGAGTGATGACATCAGCAAATTACATGCTGCAATGTATGAAAAAACCCTGAGAGGCTCGTAAGTGCTGTTGTAACTCAAGTACACTGTAAGTTGGGACTACCTATACATCAAATTATCATCATAATACATATTATAACATAGTAATATATGTAATGGTAAAAATTATAAAAATATAATTAACCATTGAGGAGCAACTTTCCATTTCAAAATAGCTTTCCATTCTATGTGACCACCTTCGATAATGTGTGGTCCACTGTAAACAGGCACACTGCAGAGATACTGCGGGTTTGGTTCCAGACACCACAGTGCAGTGAATATCGCAATGAAGCGAGTCATGCGACTGCTGTGGTTTCCCAGTGCATATACGTTGTTATATTTACACTCTGCTGTAGTCTGTGAAGCGTGCCACGCATGATGGAAAAGTGTGAAATATACAGAAAGACCCACATGGGACACAGAGACGTGGAGTGAGTGCACGCTGTTGGGAAATTGGTGCCCACAGACTTGCTCGATGGAGGGCTGCCACAGACCTTCCGTTTGTAAAACACCCAGGATCTGTGAAGCCCAATCAAGCGAAGTGCAGTCAGGCAAGGGGTGCCTGGGGTGTTACTTTAAATCTGGTTTTGCTGCACTGGTCATGTCTGGGGCGTATTGTTGGCTTTAAAGGCAGCCTCCTGGATGGGAAGATTTTCATTTCACTGACCTCATCCTGCTGCACTGCTGAGAAACCTTGTCAGGATATGTGGAAAATGTTGAAGCTCTTGTCAAGAAGGACCAAACTTGTCAAGAGGCAGCCCCGTTCAGTCAGAACAGCTGGTGTACCTGTGCGGGCACCATCTCTCTGCCCTTGACCAGCAGGGCTGAGTTGTAGGAGGACCAGTGACAGGGCCCCGTCCTCAGGGCATCAGCC